CTATCTTTTTTTCAATTCACAAATGTGATTTTGCCCTCACAATAAGACAAAATGGCCACGGCAAGTAACGGGTTAAGCAGTTTCTAGCTACAAAACTTTTGCCAGGACTCTATTTCCTACAGGCTCTAGAACTGGTTCATTGGTGATTGATACTATTTTTTTTCTTTTTAAATTTTTATATGCTCTTGCAAAGAGCAAGAAAGTAAACTCTACAAAAAACATTTAATATACATCATAATAGAACAGTCAGAAACAAGAGCTCATAACCAACTAAAACAAGATTTGTTTAGTTGGGGAAAAATTCATATTACACTGACTGTCACACATGTTGACTAATCTACTTGAATTAAAGATCACTATACTGTTGAATCTTACAAAACCAAAACATTTTTTTCTATTAAGCTATTAAAAAGTTACTTTATTTTTTCCCAAAATGAACTAACTTTCTACTTGCTTACTCATCAAATTAACATCAGCTGATAAAAATTGGATGAGGGTATATGAAATATCAATAAGAATGTTTGTTTGTTAAGCACAAAGCTACACAGTGGGCTATATGTGCTGTGCCTTCCACATGTAGAAATGTCAATAAACATTTGAAACAACAGTTCTTATTCATTTATAATTCCCTTGTAGCTGCCACAATTTGTTTTTTCCCATTTTACATCACTTAAATAAATTTTAAGGACCTTTCTTGGCCCAGTTGAAATATGATATACTGGTTCATATTAATAATATAGCCCACAATATGGGAAGCTTAAAATGTAGTTTTGAGTAATACCAGCTCTCATTATATAACTTGATAAAAAAATGCCTGATACAACAAAAACAATCTTTCATATTTAAAATCTTTTGAGCTTTTCAGCATTTAGATGACTCCAGTAACCAGTTTCTACCATGAGTTTTTTTTTAAGCAACAAAATACATAATAAAAATGAAATGACGGAAAACCTCAAACATTACTTCCATAAAACAAATACAAGTTTTTCAATAAATAGTACATAAAAAAAATTCAGATCTATATTGTGCAATATTATCAATACCAGTAAAAATATTAAACATATTACACACATTGAAATATTTTTCTATAGATAATACAAACTTCTAACAATAAAAGGCAAAGTTGGTATGCCACACAAAACATTTGTATAGGAGCTTTTCTGTAACCATATACATAAAACTCTACCTCTTCTCGGGGAGTCTGATTTTCATTATCTCCCTCTATCTTTACTCTTACTACTCCAGATTTATCAACTATCTCCTGAATGATGCGTCCATTTTTCCCTATAACTTTTCCTACAAAAAATCAAAAAACATTATTATTTAACACCAAAACAGCTGTTATGAATGAAGGCATACAAAAAAAAAACACACAGAAGAAGCACAAGTTAACATATAATATTTGTTAAAATTACCTACAAATGCTCTGGCTGGGTGTCAAGTCTACAGTACATCAAAACTGGCACACATAAAGTGATAAGAAGTAATGGTAAAGATGTTGATACCATTTTCCCATGATTTGCTTAAAGAAATCAAAACTTAATAAACTTTTCTGGAAAATTACTACATACTGAGGTGAAAAAAAATCTTGTGTGTGTGTGTTCACATAGTACATGATTACAAGCTTCACTACTTTATATGTCAAATGCATGTTATAGATTCAAATAGAACTTTTTATTTATTTGAAGCTTTGTACTGTCAGTTATGTTTTGTATTTTAGTGGAATCATCGTGAAGAAGCTGTAAATTGAAACCCTGAGTGTTTGTTTGTCTGTTATGGATTTTGCACAAAGCTACACTAGGGCTATCTGCACTAGCCATTCCTAATTTAGCAGTGTAAGACTAGAGGGAAGGCAGCTAGTCATCACCACCCACCGCCAACTCTTGAGCTACTCTTTCATCAACGAATAGTGGGATTGACTGTCACATTATAACACTCCCACGGCTGAAAAGGCAAGCATGTTTGGTGTGACGGGGATTCGAACCCGTGACCCAAAGATTGTGAGTCGAGTGCCCTAACCACCTGGCTATGCCGGGCCATAACACCGAGTGTCAAATTAAAGAAAATTAATAAATTTTGGTGTTTTAAAGTCATTTATTTCTAGTACTCAAATATCTTTTATACACCAACGTGCACTACAGATGAACTCCCTGCTGTTTCTCTTGAAGTTCTGCCAACTGATGTCAAAGCTATTATAAAGAAAGAGGATGAAGATGAAAATCAGAAAGAAAGAATCAGCAAGCACATACTTTTATATCACACATTCAAGGAAGATTCAGTTGTTGTTGAAAAGAGTGTACCTGACTTATGCAGTGATGAAACTGAGAGGTTTAAGAATGAACCATCAATTGACATGAAACTCTGTCCTCTTGCTTGGTGGGAGTCTAATGCATGCAAAGTTTATCACATATCTAAAGTTGCCAAACATTTGTTTTGCATACCTGCAACTTCAGTACTTCAGAAAGGGTGTTTCCAACTGCTAGTGACTGTTTCAGCCAAAAGAGCTATGCTAAAACCAGCACATGTTGACACGCTAATTTTCCTGAAAAAAAAATGCTTAAACGAGTTGCTTTATCAACAAGACCCATTTTGTGACTTAAATGACTTTTGGTGCTGTTGGTGTTTATATTTTAACTAAATCTAAACAGGCATTTTTCTATCTGATTTTAAACTCCATATATTTTTTAATGTTTACAGCCAAAAATGTATCCCTTTTATTTTAACTGAAACAAATGCTGAGGTGATTGTGTATTCTAGTCATTTGAAATTTTGTAAAATATATGTTTCTAAATCAGAAAGATCTCAGAATATCAATCCTTTTACATTATTTTATTTCCTTTAAGTTGTCATTTTATTTTCATTTATAAATTTTTTACAGGTAAATTTTTAAAAATGACTGTTCACATAATTTTAAAATTATTTCATTCAGAAATGATGGTGATTACAAGTGTTTTAATCATTCATTTGAAAGTTATCATTTTCTTACAATGAAAATAGGTTTCCAATAGACGATTATCTCCTCTTACACAAACAGCTTTTCTCAATCTTCCTCTACCCTCAAACACATTGGAAAAAAAAAAAATTCTCACTTGAATTACTAGACTTTATACCCCTTCAATTTGAGCTGCTCATTTAACAGAAATGGAGCATGCAACAACCCTCCATTAACAGGAGCACTACACACCCTCCTAGAACAGTTGGCTCCTTCTGTATTACTTTATGTGTACGTCACTTTCGTGATTAGGCACACAAGAAACGTAAAAAACATTGGAAGTGGAGAGGAATGGTGGGAAGTGTGTGAGAAGAAGTAATGTATCAGAAGTTATCTATTTTCAATGTACGAAAGTTGTAATTTCAGATACGATATATACCTCCTCTCACACGAATAGCTAGAATCCTACACTGAGTAGATGGAGAGACTAGTGTAACAAAGATGTAAGAGACCCCCTATGAAATCAACTATAGGGAACAGAACAAAAGCACACATGAAGGGGAGCACACCTCTTATGGAACAGGTATGCTCTTCACCCTGGAAGAAGTGAAGTGTCGTAAAATGGGTGGCATCGAAGACCAGACTAGAAAAGGGCCTTGGAAAGAATGGTACACAATCTCTCCCCCCAACTATACAGATAAGATTTCACGTCCCGTTTTTGGTATTATGAGGTGGAGGACAGCACGTAGCCACCAAACAAAGTATATACATTGTAATTTGGCTAGGGCAAGTGGACAGTGAACAGTATACACAGCAACCCCAACTGCAAGTAAACAGAGTGCTATACTGCAAGCAACCAGAATTACGACGAGGAAGTAAGCAAACAGCAAACTCTGGACAAACTTCCAAATCAACCGTAGGAGTAAGGAAATATAAAGTATACCAAACCGAACCTGGAATTATGGGGTCATGTCTGAGCCTCAACTCAACCATAAAAACAGGGATACATCCTGTACCCATTAATATGAGCAGGAAAGAATGAGTCCAACTCAACCATAAGAGCATGGATGAAACCATGTGCTCTTTGTATTATAAGTAGGATGTGGAACAAATGCTCAATCGTAGAACAGGGCAATGCCTGTCCTACAACCAGTATTACAAGCTAAACAAAAGCCCCCTAGCTTAACCACAGGAGCAGGGAAGTGAAATATCCTGTAACCAGAATTACTGAGAAGGGGAGTATCTATGAAAACCATAAGAACAGGACATAATCCACCTAAATCTGGTATTACAAGGAGGATCGAGTGGAGGCTGGTCCAGCTCCCACCTACATCTACATCTCTGGGAATAAACTCCAGTAGGTAGAAGGAGGGAGAATTCCCAGCACTGCACTCTTCTCAAAGTAGTATAGTGATATATAATATTATGACCTTTGGTTTACACTCATAAGGAAGCCTCGATGGTCTACCACCCTAGCAACTAGAAACTGGGAAGTGGCAAGGACTCCCAAACTCCACTCGAAGAAGAGAAAAGTAAAAGGCTGTGGGGAGTCCAGAGGAACGTCCCACCAGAGAAAGTGCAATGGGTGATCAAGAAACCCTATTTAGAAAAGCAGACCGTTCCCAATTTATTCAATCAAAGGAGTGGCAGGGATGGGCAGAAATCCCCTTACGCTTTACTCATGACAGTTCATGAGTGATGGCCTGCCAAATATGAAATAGAATACTACAATTAGAGAAAGATATATACCACTAGGTAAGACACTAGTGATCTTGCAGAACACCCCATCTCAAGAGTGTACATTACAACCACAAAGATATCTGGTGCAGGTTTAGAAGAAAGCATACCTGACCAGGCAACACTCACCTCTGAACAGCATCTGAGTAGGCCCCTGTAATAAAACAGAATAGAAAAATACACCCATGTAACAGATGAACCAGTGCATGTAGAGTCATAAATGGAAGAAGACAATATCCACTAGAAAGGAACACAGCCAGATGGTGCAGGTAATGAGTGACAAAGGTATGGCCTAGACAATCTCTGCCAGAGAACAATGAAAACAAACTGCTAGAGACACGATGACAAGGCAAACCTTCTCAAACAATACACAGTAAAGACGATGCCCTTCCAACGAGAGGGATGAGTAATCCAACCTAATAAGCAAATGAACCCAACCCTTAAGGTAGATGTGAGAAGAGGACACATAAGGATTCCAGGGAATAAACAAAGAGGAATAGGAACCACAAAAGTAAGTTGTATGAGTCACATAGCACCATGGAGCCCACACAGGACACAGAAGGCAATCGAGATCTGACCAGGATAATATGGAAAATGGAAGGGATGAAGAAGGCTGTGCAGGTAGAGTCACTCTGTCGAGCAGTGGAGGTCTCTGGAGAGGGAACCAAGGCTGAGCCAGTCAAACAGAACCACCAAGAGAACTCAACATGGAGAGGTGTGGATAAAGAAGATCAAACAGGGATGCAGACATATATGAGGGAAGGCATAAAAGGGAAGACCTCTCAATTCCATACAAAAGGCATTCAAACCTGAGGACAAGGACTCAGAAACCAGAAAGATGGCAGGTAGTCATCCAGATGGGTGGCAAATGCATCTACGTGCTGAGTGCCCAGACAAGACTATAACTACTGGAGAATAGAGGGACCAGTCTATGGGAATGACTTTGTGCAGATGTGATAACTGATTTACAACTAGAATCAAAACACACTGAGAATGAGGCAAGCCAAGAGTAGTGTCTGGTACACATGGGCCCAGAATTTGGAGACCCAGAGTCCGACAACAAAGAGATATGAACTAGGTACCCTCTTGCTTGTAGAAGTCTGAGACCACCTAGAAGTCAGCAGAATGCATTTTCACACACAAAAGAAGGAAGACAAGAGACAGAGCTCTATGAACAATGAAGAGCACCAAAATGTTTAAATAAAGCCTAGGTTCAGCCAAAGCCCGACACCCAGTAATATCCTGGGTATTTAGATATGCACTCCAACCTATAAAGAAGCATCAATGAAAGATGGAAGACCTGAGATAGTGGTGGAAGAGGAACACCCACTATAGTATTGTCTCTATCTCACTACCAAATCGGTCCAAAGGAAAGATGAAAGCACAAGCAGATGATCCAAGGGATCTGAGCAGAAGTGCCATTAACTGAGGAATAGCCACAAAAAGGAACAAATGTGATTGCTGCAGAGGGGTACAAGAGCTACCAAAGAAGCCAACCTCTTGAAATAGTTGAGAAGGAGAGGATAAGATCTTGATGACTAACTGCTCCATATCCCAAAACCTTAGTGCAGAAGAATTGGCCCAACTGGTGGTGGGAAGTGAAGTCCCAAGAGAACCAAAAACAGGG